GGTCGTGAANCACGGACGGCTATTTCACCTCATCGGTTTATAGAGCTCCTGTTCGTTCATGTTTTCAATGGACGAGAGTGAAAATGGAAAGAAAAACGCTATTTGTTGTAACAACAAATAGCGTTTTTCTTTCCATTTTCACTCTCGTCCATTGAAAACATGAACGAACAGGAGCTCTATAAACCGATGAGGTGAAATAGCCGTCCGTGTGTGTTCCATCTTGCATTTTAAATCATTTGTTTACCTCCCTCACTTCCGTTAACGCTTCTCATGCACTGATTCGCTAGCTGAACAGCCAATCAGTGTTATCCCTTTGTCCGACTTCCGGTGGTGTTCCCGACGGCGATTCAAGAAAAGGCGTCAGGTCGGCTGAAAAGACCCGACGGTGCTGCGCACACCACTCCGAATAGGGCGTGCCCACGCTCATGTTCGGCCCGACTCCCATTTACTGCCGATTTCGGGCCGGTGTATCTGGGCCTTAAGACATTTACTTCAGGCTTATTGAAGATCCGCCAGACATCCAGATGGCAGGGTGAAGAGCCAGCTGCCTAATATAACAAGTTGGAGACTTTTTTTATAATCATGTATTTTAGTGGATTGCAAATGGACTATGCTTATGTGCTGTGATTATGCTCATGGGTTTTCTCTGTTCTCATGTGCTCTTCTATGATTTCATTTAATGCCATCAACCCGCCAGATGGAAATGAGCATCTATGGCTAAATCTGGCACATTTACATGATGGACTCCAGTGCTCATGTTAAATAATGTGCATTTGGCATTTGTGCATTTCACACCGGAGTACTTTTACCCGTACTTTTCCCGTTTAGTTCCGATAGTGCCTGGAATTTTGCGTTCACACCAAAAAGAGAACTTAGTTCCGAGAACTTTTACCCCCATGTTGAGTGCCTGCTAGAGAGGTGGGACTATCCTGGGGATAAAAAAGTTATTCCGGTGTGAACGCGATCTGTACTTAGTTCCATGGCAAACAAGGCAAAATCATAAACTCTCTCAGAGCAAGCAACATCCAACACCACTTTTCAAAATACTGTAAAACGGGAAAACAAATACGGATCATAACACAAGAAGAAATACAAAGGAGATAAAAGAGGAGAGAAAAAGTGATATTGTGCTATTTGATCAGTTCCAGTTATTCTATTGTTCTTGGGAGGGGCTGGCCAACATTAAAAGTTCATGACCACGAACTGTATCTCAAACAATACTGTTTTGCGTTCCTCATTTGATGGAATTGGACCTGGAATGTCTTTGAAAAGTCCTTGAATTTGATTTAGAAAATTAGAACCCTGATCATGCTCTTCCTGATCCTCCCCTCAGGTCCTCTGCGCAGCGCCTCCGCAGACATTCACTCTCCCCACTGGAGAGTGAGAGCTGTGGGGGACGTAGGGGGCTGGGGGGCCCACGGGGGCTCCAAGGAGGCCCGGGTCACTCTGAGGCACACAGTCCAGGGACTCACCAGCCCCGCCTTACAGGTGAGGGTCGCACACACACTCTACACCCCCCTGCTGCTCTTCACCGGTGCTGACCCCCTCTCTCTGACAGGTGGAGGCCTGGGGGAGGCTCACTGAGTCCCAGCTGAGGTGCTCCATCGCCCTGAACCCAGAACTCAGCTCCTCTCTGGCCCTCATCATGCAGGGACACCATCGACCCCACAGGTACTGGAAACACTCACATTTAATACATGCACACACTCATACTTAGGCTTATCTCATACCCTCTCATACTCAAGGTTATCAATTTTTTCTTCAGCAAAAAAACCCTTGTAGAGAATATACCGGGAACCCCTCCTATCCCTTGGATTCATTCGACTCAGCCTCATCTTTTACTCTTATATACAGTAGTTTTAATTGTGTGAAAGAATAACAATAATCAGACTCAGAAACAGAATGGGAAACAGTCAATTGAGATTTTACTATAAACCAATAAACATGTTTCTTATTAAAGTTATAGTAACACTATCTATAATACATATATATTGGTTATGGTTTGACTTATTATTTGTTATTTTTGCTGATGTAAGGGTAATGTAATAAAACGATATTAGACATGTTTTAAACTATTTGTAGTATCTCAACACAGATACACAAAACAATGCATAACTTTAATGATCTGTACCTATCTGTACCTGTATTTAATGATGTACCACTATACCATATATAAAAGAAAAATCAAGAAAAAAGGTTTTATCTGGCGACTCTTTTTATTTTTAATTGTCACCTTTGTTTTCTTACACTAAAACTTTTACCAAGACTTTTTCCGACATACATCGATGCAACCGTGCAGGAAATAAAGTGTTTGAAGCTTTGATTTCCCTGGGACCCAGTACTGAAGCTATCCATGAACATGTACATGACAGCTGTTCTTTTGTCCAGCAAGGACCTGATGGTGAAGGTGGTGCAGAATATTCCCAGGATGTTGGTGTACCTTCCTCCTCAGCTCAACATCCGCTCTCAGGTGGGGGCTTATTACATTCTATTAAAATGAGAATGAAGCAATGCAACATGTGAACTGGAATATCCCCTTTTATGCTGTTGCTGTGTCGCTTTTGTCCATGCGCTTGTTGTAGTAATTAGACTGTATTGCTCTCTTTCCTCCCTGCAGCTGAACCAGTCCCAGTCGGGTGTAGCAGGGCTGGTGGAGGTGTCGTCAGGCCGGAGGAGGCTGTGGGCGGTGGGGGAGCTGACAGCCATAGAGAGTGGATACAGACAGGCTGTGGAGCTCAAACACTCGTACCCTCAGGTACTGCTGAGCAGGATGCTAGATATGATATGGGACCCTACACTCAATTACATCACCAGTAGTAAAGGGAAATGAACAGGCATTCCAATGGTGTGGGACATGATTGAAATCAGTGGTTGCCTTACCCTAGGGGCACTTGAGGGGATTGCAGGGGGTACGTAGAGAGAATAGAGATTGCAATATATTTCCACACAAAAAAAACATTTTAAAGTCAATTCTCATAAGTCTGGTGTCTTGCCCCAGAACTATCACAGCTTATTAAAGACAAGCAAGCTCAAGTGTCTCATAAAGCTCTAGTCTTCAGAAAAGATGTTGTGGCTGTTAGAAGTCTTAATATGATTTTGTTATTTCACTCATAATAAGTGTAGATGTCAGGTTTAATGCATGTGTATTAGGGTGAGTTATACAAGTGATTTAATGTAAGGAACAGTTGGGTTCAATTTGTTGACAAAGGGTTTAGCACAAGAACATTTTTTAGGCAAATCATCACAGATGAGGGAGGGGGTTCTTATAGAATGGAGACCAGCTCAAGGGGGACACCAGACAAAAAAAGGTTGGAAACCACTGATTTAGATGATGACATGATCACAAATAGTCAAAGATATGATACATACATTTAATGACCAAACCTTTTTTGTTGTTATATTCACATTTAAGGGGCAACCTTGCAATGTATATATTCCTATGTTCTAAAAAGATACGTCATCATTAACAAGGCTCTTCTCGGTCTAAAAAGTAGCTTAAAAACAAATGTGTGATGTCATCAAGAATACAATGTGAAACTGCTCCACTGACATTGAATTGTAAAAAAGGTAAACAATAAAAAAAAAGGCTTGTTTGGTATATAAATAATAACTTGGATGGATGACATCACAAGATTGAGATTTCTCTGGTTTCTGACTTTAGGAGGGTATAGCTCGTTTTCATGAACAATCCTAAGCAGGAGAAAAAACACAATTCATAACAAAATTGGGAGGGGAGTTCCCCAGACGTGACTTAATATTGCACTGCAATCCAGGCATGACCACACACAATGGTCAGATCTTAAAAAGTCTTACACACTCTAAAAACAAATGCCTTGGCTCAACAAAGAAAATCAACGCAACAGTTTGCATCGATGTTTATTGAGTTATGACAACTTCTAATGAAATTGTCTTAAAGCAACAAACTTATTTGAGTTAGGGGAGAAGGCTTTTCCTCTTGAATTACGTTGATTACTCAAAAGATTAAGTTGTTCCGATTAGTTTTACCACATGATTTAAAAGGGATTTTAAGTTGTATGTACTTAATTACCCTCATTCGGGATACAAGTTTTTAAGTTGATTACTCCAAAAATGATGTTGTTCCAACTTGTTTTACCGTATGATTTAAGAGGAATTTTAAGTTGTATGTACTTAATTACCATCATTGTGAACACACGTTTTTAAGTTGACAACCATTTATAAATTAAGTTGCTCCAAATATATTATATTCATTAGTTTTTTTTCTTAGCTTTTTCATGTTTTTGCCTCTAAAGAAAGAAATTAATTGATTCCACAACAAAAATATTAGGCAATTCACTTTTTATTTTGAACTGCAGTTGTTTATTTCAACACATGATGTTTCAATCAGGAGAGAATTCATTTAGTTTGAACATTTATTGACACATGCCATATTATAAGGCTGCATGAACACCTGAAATCAAGTCTGGACTGCAGCGAGGAGGAGAACCGATTGTTTATTTGGCCTGCATCCGCTTGATTGGCTGGCCTGGGATGAGGTGAAATGTAATAGGTTAAGGAGACGCCTGTGGATGCAGCTGATTATATGCCAGCTGCGGGAGTGAATGCTATAACACCCCCAGTCTTCCTGAAGAGACTATGCGCTGAGCTTCATGCCGTCTATGAAGTAATCTTGAAAAAAAAGATAAATAACACAAATTTAATTGCCCCACAAATACTTTTAAATAAACACATTAGCCATCTTATACCATGGGAAATGGACACGAGCAAATATTTTATGCTGCCCATCACAAACGAAGGTTAGTTTTGCCTTGCATATTTCAAACACCGTGCCAAATATGTAATAAAAATTGATGTTAAATTGTTAATACAGACAAATCCTTTATTGGCCACCATCTGCAGATACCATCATCTTTACAAAGATGTTTTTGTCTGTAACAAAGCACTGATTAACACTGGCCGAGTCCTTTTATTCAAACAGTATGAAACATTTAACCGCAAAATTGCTTGCTTTCATTTATTCCTCACCACGATGGTGGTGACATGTGGATGTCAGATCCTGGGGTGGACCGGTCTCACTCGTATGAAGGCGAATATCATGTCCTTGGAAGATTATTAAGGCATTATTGATTGGTGTGGAGCGCGCCCACTTTCAAATAGTTGAATTGCTTTCAAATCGTAACTGACAGAGGCCGTGCTTTTGTCCTGTGTTTTACCCCACTGTGCCCGTGTATTTATTTATTCAAGATTTTTAATTACAGTCGCTAACTTTGTT